TTATTTTTGTAGAGTTGATAAGGAAGTAGAAAAGCAATTGGCATGGGAACGCTGATTCGGCGGGTTGTTTACTGCTCGGGGGCTTTCAAACAAGAGTTCGAATTGGAAAAACAAGGGTCTGCCAGCTTGAAGGGATCTCTGGTTCTGTTCGATTTTTGGTTGTAAGGGCAATATTTGTCAAAATTAATTTCTAAAAAATGTAGATGCCTATTGAGACATGGAGAGTGCTTTCTGTTATCAGTATTAAATCCCCCCATTTTTAGGTTGAATTCGATTTCACCCTGAAACATCAGCAACCAGTTTGTATACGCGTGCAAACGCCATGCGGTGAAATCGGCATGTTTGAGCTCAATGATATGGTTTCTGAGCATGTCTTCCGCCCCATGCAACACGGATGCGGTAAAGGCATGTGGAAGATCGATGTCCTGGAAGATGCTGAGAAGAGGTTGGTTATTTTAGACATTATACTTTTATTTATAAGAATCATTTGGGATTTATGGGGATAAAACAGCTTAAAGTCACCGTCCAACCAATTTGAGGATGGTGAGGTCTTGATATTCTGTGTTAGCCCCTAGCTAAGCAATCGCCCAAGTTTCGCTGCAAAAGATGAATTTTTGAACGAGAAAATGGCTCTAGAATGTAGGAGGGATTAAGCTGGCTCCGCCTACCAAAGTGGGTGGTCTGAAGATACATCCGAACTTGGACATGCATTTATGTAAAATTACCATAGATCCGCCCTACATTGAAATTGTAAATTTCCGACATTTCTCTCTATGCTGAAGCCTAATTTCGAACTTGTAATCTTCAGACCACCCACGTTGATGGGCGGAGCCAGCATGGGCTCTTCTACCTTCTGAAACGGTTTTTCGATCTGGAATTTACCTTTTGCAGCCATTCTTGGGCAATTGCTTAGTTAGGGGCCACTCTAGCAAACAACCATAAAATCTCACCACCCTTCAAATTTGGGTGAACGGTGCCTCTAAACAAGTCATGATGATTGAAAAATGGCTTTATGTCAGCATCAGAGATTCTCATGTCAGAAATAATAACGCCCATATTTGACACTTGAGTTTGCTTGGAGTGTGTGTTTTCCCACGACAGATGTAACTAG